AATGCTCACAATCAAGGTTTGAAAAAATAGATTGGTGGCCCTAATTGGCCATCCCAAAAACCGTGGTGGATGGGCGGATCCGCAGGATTTGGCCCAAAAAAAATCAAAAAATACTAAAAATTTATAAAAATGGAGTTTTTTTTGTTTCTAAAAAATTAAGAGTGGTGCATTATGTACTTTCATTACTTTGTAAAAATACGTAGATAGTGAGACATTATTTTCTTATCTAGATATTTGTTAATCATTCATTCATATCAATAAACAAAATGAACTTATAATAATGAAGGATATAAATATATAGACCAAAATGGAGATATGCATTATTCTAGGATTATATATTTGCATTATTTAGTAATTCAAATGTCCTATTCACATTATTTTTGGATTTTCTATTTTCATCTAAGCCACTCATCAAAGAGATATGCTATTACAAAAATGGGACAAAACCTTAATTACAATTAAACCATCAAATTATAGAAAGATCAAAGATATTTTCATCTAAGCTACTCATCAAAGAGATATGCCATTACAAAAATGGCAGAAAACCTTAACTACAATTAAACCATCAAAATTATAGAAAGATCGAAGATAAACAAATTGTAGCATTCATCATGAAACACACAAAAAAATAAAATAAATAAATAAATAAATAAAGACTAAGAAGAATAAGAAGGAGGAGGCGGAACATGTTGGATTATTAAAAATAACTGAAACTAACAAGCAAAAACAAACACGCACGCATTCATGTCTAAATGGCATAAAACATAATTAAAAAAACAAATAAAAATACCACAATATTAAAAAAATATAGCATTAAAAGTAAAAATAAAAACAAGTTTTATTAAGAAAAAATAATTTTTTTTATAGAATATATAAATTTAAAATAAAAAAGAAAATAATTAACAAAATAGAAAATAACTTATTCCCATATTCATTAAAAAATAATAATTTTATTAAAAAATAATTTTTAAAAAATATTACATTAAAAGAAAAGAAGAACTAAATTAAACACATTATTTTACTAAGAAAAAACATTTTTCTCTAAAAAAATCATTATCTCAAAAACCCCTAAAAATAAGCAACATTTAGTGGAATAAACGACGATTAATCTTCTAATAATCGAACAAAACGAAACACTTGCATTGTAAATGATTCGATCATCTTTCAAACGCACCATTTTTCATCAAAAGACATTTAGTATTGAAGATTTAATTGAAAAAATGGTGAAAATTTCAGACCTATAAAATTTTCATCAAATCGAGCAAGAAACAAATTACTCAATAATAAATAAACATACCTATTTTATTTGATAGACGAATCATTGGTGATTAAAATAATAACTCAATTTGATCCAAAACGAGCAATAAATCAATTAAAATCTTCAATTTTTCAGCAATAGAGTTTCGAGCCAAAATTGACCCACAATTTTTTGTAGATCAAATAAATTGACATACAAAACTGGTAAAAGTTTGATTATCTTTTAAATGTCCTAAATTTCATAAAAACCATTCGATATTAAAGATTTCATCCAAAGATTGGCAGAAATTTCAAATCCCGTGAAAAACCACCATTTGATCAATTGAATCTTACTTTTTATGCATGTTTGATTCAAAAACTGTTGTTTTATAGCGACAAGAGAATGATTTAGATTATTAATACACTGCAAAATTCCATAATACGGTAGAAAAATAAATAGAAAAGCATAAGATGATTATGATTTTGCCATTCCTCATGACCATTTTCCTATGTAGAATCTTTGATTTCATCAGGCTTTCTAAAGCAAGAAAGTTGGTGGAAAAACGAGTAATAGCTAGGTGAAGCAACTCCCTTACGGTAGCGGTGCTTCAAGCTCAAAACTAATTTGTCATTATAGATATACTTTGTAATTTTTTTTACGAACTTTAGGATCTATAGAATATCTCGAGATTGAAGATTTTTAGGATATTTATCAGGATTTCCTATATATTCTAAACTCAAATCCTTACATGGATAGCACATGTTGTCCAATACATAGTTTTGTACTTCTCAGCCAACATTAGTCCAACTACCCTGTAATTTGTTTCATTATTAGTTAAAAATTGATCCACATATTCTCGGATTAACTATTTTAACAATATCATCAAACAAATTATAAAGAAGCTAAGCAGTTTTTGATACATCAGAAGCATCCACAGAGTTGATAAACATCGTACCCTTGGGACGATAAACCAAACAATTGAATATTCATATGTTTTCCATGACTCCATGTACTCATAAGAAATTCATCGACCTCATTCACTTTCTTTTGCACAAACTTGCACCTTAGGTCATGATAATTTGGCATTCTATAACCAGGACTAACGGCAGCTATTGCATCAGCCATTCGTTGAAAATACTGTGAATTCGCTACATTAAATTGCATAGCAGTGCCATACATACATCGAACTACAGCCATATGTTCTTGCTATAAAATTTATTTAGAAGCAACAACAGTTTTTATGCTTTTTGTGCCCAAGGTGTTGTCTTAGGGGCAAAATAGCTTGCTCAACAATTCCTTTAAAAATTTGCCTAACAATTTCTGCTCAACAATTTCTTCAAAAACTAAAGGGTCGGTGCTAGGAATTTAATCCTACAATGAGTAGGGGACCCCTTTCCCACACATCTTTCCCACTGAACTAAAAATAGAAGTATCTAAGTTATCTTTTAGGTACAAAAAGTTATTTTAGTTCCTGAAAGTCCACATAGGATCATAAATGAACACCATTCTAGCGACAAACTCTTTTCTATACAAGCATACTTTTTAGTACAAAACGTTTGCTTTATTTATTGAGAAAATTAAAAAAAATCTCCCCAAGTGTATTATTTATGCAACTTAACTCGGGCCAATTTTTTCTCACTTTTTTCTCTACAACAACTTTTCCTCGCAAAAACCACTCTAAGATAAAAAGTTGTTACTTTTTGGATGGAAATGCCCTTCCCATACAAAAGAATTCAACTAGCGGTCCCAAGTTGCATATTGCCGGAGCATAGAATAACACTGTCAGAGCGCTTTGTAATGATTGCCGGATCGGAATACTTACTGATGGAGCATTGTGGCTTTAGAAGGTGTACCATAGGAGCACATTTATCTACCGTCGGAGCGCCCTAATGCACTGCCGGAGCACTGTGGCTCCAACGACCCTACTGCCGAAGCGCATTCATAGAGTGCCAAAGCGAAATGTCTCCAAAAGGTGTACTGCTAGAGCGAAATGTCTCCTAAAGGTATACTGCAGGGTCGAGATCACGTAATGCCGGAGCAATTTGTCTACTACCAGAGCGAAGTACCACACTACTAGAGCGTTGTGGCTCCAAAAGGTGTACTGCCAGAGCGAATGTTTGTATCGCTGGAGCGCGTTGTCTTCGCTGCCGAAGAGAGTGAGAGAAAAGGCGTGTGAAAAAGGGTATTTTAGACCCTTTTTTAGTTCTTTTTGGGTTGGGGGGGTTTTTGCGAAGATAAGTTGTTAATGGGAAAAAGGTAAAAGAATAAAGTTGGATGAGAGTAAGTTGAATAGATAGTGTATATTGGCGTTTTTATTGTAATTTTTCCTTATTTATTTATAATCATCGAATTGTAAGATTACTTACAACTTATATAAACAAAATATCCAACATTTTCCTTCTAATATTCGGGAAAAAAAAATCTAAATTTTCGGTTTTTCAATTGGTTTGACATTTGTGTACAAAAAAAATATTTTGCTCAATGAAAATCCTTAGAGGTTTCTCCGAATCAGCCATGAATGAAGCTTCAAACCCCCACTTGTAAAGGAGTTTTAAGATACAAAACACATTTTTAATACAAAACGTGTGATTTTGCTTTGATCACCATCGTTATAATTGTACGATAGCTTATAACTTACATAAAGCGGATCTCTAACATTTTTTTTTTTTATGAATATTAAAAAGAAAAAGGTTAGAGATCCGGTTTAAGTTATAAACGATACAGTTACAACCGGATATCTAGCTTTGTATATTAAAATAAACACAATTACACGTCTTTGCGTCATGGTTAGTAGATAAGTTAACGAGAAGCGCTGGGTATAACTTCCAAAACTTGATGCCTAACAAATCTCTTATTATTATAATGATGATACTTAACTTTTCTTTGTTATTGGTTACTTCAGTGGTGATACTTAATTCGAAGTGGGAAATAGTCAACATTCTCTCCGTATTCACGTTCTTATCCTTTTTTTTCTCTTCTTGCATAGGTTTTCTTTTCATTATTTTAGTTAGTTGGTTTCTCTCCCTTGCTTTCACTTGAGTCACGATCTCCTCCTAAGAGTGAAAAGAACCCTGATAAAAGAAAAAATAGTTTTTATTTTTTTTTTATTATTATTATTATCATCTATTCTTATTCCAAATATTCAATTTATATCCTAATTTCTTTGAAAAAAAAATAAAACAAAATAAAAACGAAAGGAAATAGCACTCAAAATAAAAAATAAAGGAAAGTAATGCGCCATTGCTACCATGAAGGAAATGCTGAAACAGATTTTTTAACCACTAGAGGTGTTTTTCAATCCTCATTGGTGATTACCAAGTTCTTGTATTGTACTTCTGTGTAATTGGATCCCCTTATAACTATATCCATTTAGAGTGAATAATAGTCATTTGCTATTGTTAAAGAAAAATAAATAAAAAATAAAAATAAAAATTACCCAGCCCTCTCTTGAGTAATTGTATTAATATATTTCGCCTCCAAAGCCTCACAAACGCGTTTACTACAGCTTTTGACCGAGTAGTGGTCGTACCTTGAGACCCAAGCCAAAGTGACTAAATCCACAACATTAAAATGAGTTGCTCCCACTTATCCAACTTCTTTAAATATCTTCTTTCTGATCCATTTTCGGTGCACTCATCTGTTCAAGCAACTATCGTTCTTTGCTATTTGGCTAAAGCTGCAAGTCAACAGCATGTTGGAGAAATGTTTGGCTTCCGGCTTAATTCAGGCAGCTTTTCATGCCATAAAATTCCGAAAAAGTAAAATGGGATACCAGCGACTCGGCCGAGAACATGCGGAAGAACGCACCAAGGCAAAGACTGTTGGTTTTCAAGTAAGGGTAAAGAGAACCAAAGCTGTAACCGTGAACATTTCGAGGGGGATGCAGGGAAATAAGTCAAAATTGTCGACAATTGATGGTAAAGGTGGGGCAAACCATCCAGTTTTGAGCAATTTTGTTGGGAAAGGAAGGAGGAAGGTGACTTCCAGGCCCGAAATTTTCAGGTATTTGGAGTATATGAAGGAGAGTGGAAGGTGGGAGCCTGGCTCTGAGAGGCCTGTAATATATTTTCCTTAGTATTTTTTTTCAAGTGATTTGATCATTTCTTCTAATTCATAATATGTATGGTGGATGAATTTGTTTTATTAGAAGAATGGTGGTCATCGAGCCACAGCCTCTATCATATGATAAAGGTACTATAATTTATAAGTAATTTAGAGTTAATTACCACTGACAATGATAATTTTAGGGATAGAATGACCATTGACTCTCTATTGCAAATGGAAGGCTTCATTCCTAGATAGCCAAGATGGTTCCATGGAACCATATAGAGAAGCAAAATGCCCTCACTCTGGTTGTGGTTTTGCTTTCAATTTTTCCATATCACTTATTTTAATTTAAGGCCTTCCTAGCTTTTGGGCGGTTCCACAATAAAAAGGAAGCTTCCCAAAGAGAGTAGAACAAAAGAAATGTGTATCAAATTGTTAGACTTTTTTGGGACAAACTTCCCCTCTCAAACTTATATCTCTCGAGTTTAAGGTGTTCGATTTGGTGCTATCCAAAATCACCCACATAAAGAAATCTATGGGATTGAGATTGATATTGAAAAGTTTCTTAAATAAAATAAAAATCCAAAAGGATCAAAACTCTTTAATATATCTCTTGGTTTTTTAGATATATATGTAAGATCTATGGAAGTTTTTTATTTAGTATGGACTCTTAATTTTATATATATATGAGGGATGAAAATCCAGAGGATTTGTGTACCCTATTTGGGTCACCATATAGGACTGGTGGTTCCTCTAGAGAGAGGGCGGCAAGGCCTCCTATGCATAAGATACAAGGTTTCCTTTTAAAGAGAAGAGAGCTTCATTTGGAGAGAAACATTGTGATGATACCGCTTGTAGACTCTTAAAGATTGAGAGGCTGGTTTTTTTTAGAGAAGCGGTTCTCATAGAGATTTTAAGTAGTTTGCCTTTTAATTACATAGAAAGTCAATTTATAATAGTGTTGTCGATAATGGCTGTCAAAAGTAAAGAAAATGAAGGGATAGTGGTTTAAAAGGGTTTGCTCGACTTGGGTTTTGTCGTGATTTAGAGAGGTAACTTTAAGATCCAAAATATTTGATGTAACTTTTACTGGTATAGTGGATTTCTGTTTACCGTACCCTTGGATGTAGGCGTTTTGAGATGAATCACGTAAATCTTTGCGTTTTTGTGGTGTTTTATGCTTTATTTTTAGTACTTTATTTGACAAAAATCAACTTACTTCTGTACACAACAAAGTGATATTAGAGCCTAGTTTGGGTTGTCTGTATGGCGATAAAGGTTTTGAATGCAAGTTCAAAGTGGAGAAATTTGATAGCAAATATTATTTTTCATCAAGAATGGTGAAGAAATTTATTTGGTAAGAGATGAAGAATTTATTAAGCCATCCAATAGATGTTGTCATGGTGAGCAAGTCATTTTGATATCAACATGGAGATTGTTAGATTTGTTGCTATTCAAAATCACCTACATAAGGAAATCTCATATTATGTGGGATTAAGATAATCCCAAATTATGTGGGATTGAGATATTTCCTTATTGTGTGAAATGGCTATTAGCCAATTAGATATTCTTTAAGAGTTGGATATTAGGATAAGTTCTATTTGGATTAGGATGAACTTGATAACCCATGTTTAAAGAGATAAAGATTAGTTTCCCATAAAAAAAATAATAAAAGGGGCCATCACGTGAGCCTTTTTGGTGAGTCTCTTTTCTTTATATAATGGGCTATTTTCAGAGAGAGAAAGTGTGCTTTATTTAGGTCACCATGTGGGAATGGTGGTTCCTCTAGAAAGAGAGGGGGCAAAGCCTCCTGTCATAAAATATAATGTTTCCTCTTAGAGAGAAAATAGCTTCTTATGAAGAGAAACATTGTGATGTGCTGCTTGTAGACTCTCGAAGATTGAGATGCTTGTTTCTTATAAAGAAGCGTTTCCCATGGAGATTTTGGAAGATTTTCCCTTTCAGTTAGAAAGAAAGTCAGTTTTTCATTGCTCTCACGTCTTTATCTGGTGTTGTCGGTAATGCTTACCAAGAGTTAAAGAGAAGGAAGGGAGAGTGGTTTAAAAAGTTTTGTTCGTATGGGTTTTGTCGATGTTAGAGAGGTAACTATATGTCCTAAATTTTTTGATGTAACTTTCATTAGTATAGCAGATTTCAATTTGCGGTGTCCGTGGATGTAGCCCTCTTGAGGTGAACCATATCATGCTTTTTTTCTCATACTTTATGTGTCAAAAATCAACCCATCAGGTTTAGAGCTTTCACACACAACATAAGGGACATCTTCCCGCAAAAAAGTAGTTCCACGTTCATTTACCTTAGGCTCCTAAGCTCTAAGCCAAATGATTGAGGAAAATGTATACGTAAGATTTCAACCTTATATGTATGAAGTAAGGCGCACCTGTACAATCCTCTAGAAGAGACTGTTCCGATATTGGAGAACCCTAAAATTGATCATATTGACTTCGAGATGTGTGGCTATGAAGTAAAAAAAAATTGAAGTCATGAAAGAAAATGCATCTTTTAGGAAGTTATCTAAACCATTTATTAAATGCATCTTTTAGGAAGTTATCTAAACCATTTATTTTCAAGATTTTGAAATGTTTATAGATCTATTTGATATGTAATTTAAAATTTTATAACTAGGGGTCAAAAGATATTTTAAATCCATCATAGTGTTTCTGGCCCGAAAATTCTAGGCAAACTTTAGAGGTGTGTCATACCTATAGTATAAAGAGTTATACAAACCTCAGGCAATTTTTGTAGTCCCTGATGTTGGTTTTTCTACTCACAAAAATCATAGTGACATTGCTGGAGCTCAAGTCCTCGTAACTAATGTACCATGTCAACCCTAAAAGAGCTACCTTAAAATTGGATCTCATTGATTCCATCAGTGGAGTCAGGTGGAGAATCATGCTTCCGCTTTGCTACATCTATTTCCGTGCGTTTTCGTCGTGTAAAGAGCCTTAATTAGATGTTTTCCTGGAAATGTCAACTGATGCATCGGGTAAAAATCAAAAAAATATAAATTCCCTAATTAGATTGCCTATAATATCTTTTGTTTGAAAATGCAAATTCTCTTTCTAAATATTTTGAGATAGTTTCTCTTCTTAAAAATTCTATATATTTTCTCTCTCTAAAATTTTTATATACTTTCTCTCTCTAAAATATGATATAGTTCCTCTCTCTAAAATTTTAAAATACTTTCTCTCTCTAAAATTTAAAATTTGAGATGGATTCTCTCTATAAAAGTTTTGAAATATTTTTCTCCCAAAACCATTTCAAATAGTTTCTCTTTGTAAACAGTTTCAGGTAGTCCCTCTCTTTAAAATATGATATAGTTTTTCTCTCTAAAATTTTCAAGTACTTTCTCTATCTAAACTTTAAATTTTGAGATAATATCTTTCAAAAAAATTTAATATAGTTTCTCTCTCTAGGAAAGTTTAGGTATTTTCTCAATCTGAAATTTGATAGAGTTACTCTCTCTAAAATTTTAAGGTGCTTTCGCTTTCTAAAACTTAAATTTTGACATAGTTTCTCTCTGTAATGCTTTTACTATAATTTCTTTCTCTAAAACTTAAAATTTGAGATAATTTTTCTATCTAAATTTTTTCAAATAGTTTCTCTCTAAAAATTTTAGGTACTTTATCCATCTAAACTTTGATATAGTTTATCTCTCTAAAGTTTTAAGATATTTTCTCTCTCTAAAAATGAAAATTTGAGATAGTTTCTCTCTCTAAAATTTTCAGGTAGTTTCTCTATCTAAAATTTTAATATATTTTCTCTTTCTAAAATTTAAAATTTGAGATCGCTTCTCTATCTAAATTTTTTTATGTAGTTTCTCTCTTTAAATATTTTAAGTACTTTCTCTATCTAAAATTTGATGTAGTTTCTCTCTCTACAGTTTTAAGATATTTTCTCTCTCTAAAACTTAAATTTTGAAATAGTTTCTCTTTGAAAAAATTTTCTGATAGTTTCTCTATATAAAATTTGATATAGTTTCTAATCTCTAACATTTTAATATGTTCTCTCTTTAAAACTTAAAATTTGAGATAATTTCTTTTTAAATGTTTTGAGATATTTCTTTCTAAAAAATTTTAAATAGTTCCTCTCTCTAAAATTTAATGTAGTTTCTCTCTCTAAAATTTAAAGATACTTTCTCTCTCTAAAATTTAAGATTCGAGATAGTTTCTCTATCTAAAATTTTAATATGGTCTTCCTAAAACTTTAAATTTGAAATAATTTCTCTCTCTAAAAAATTTAAAGTAGTTTTCTCATTAAGAAGATTTGTATATTCTCTCTTTAAAAATTTCATATACTTTCTCTCTCCAAAAGTCGATATAGTTTCCCTCTCTAAAATTCTAATATATTTTCTCTCTTTAAAATTTGATATAATTTCTCTCTCTAAAGTTTTACTATTGCTTTTGGCCTTCAACAGCAAAATGGATAATTTCAATGAAATGTGAATTCCACCTATCTTGGTAGAATTTAGATTTCCAAAATTTAAGCTTAAAATAAATATTTAGGATTTCCACGAAAATCTCAATTCCACTGGAAATGTCAATTCTAAACTAACCAACTATTGGTCCAACTTTTTCAAGAAAAGTGATTCTTAAAAACCTGAATCTAATGAGCCAAACGGGTCCTAAAGGTTTATGGATGGGTTCTTTGAAACTAATGGGTTCTTTGAAACTAACTATTTGGCAGTACACTTGTTCATGGTCAACAAGATTAGAGCCATGTTTTCAAGCATCTCACAAGAAAGAATGATTGCTGAGAATATGACAACGTGTTAGGTGCAATTTTGACATTTTGTGAAGGCAAAGATAGTGCTTAATGGAAATTTTACCAGAGTGCTTCACTAACGCTAATCATATGTTAAAAGACAATAGACGGTGACCGGAAGAGATTCAAGTTTCTTTAAAGAGCACTCTTTCTGTCCGATATTCTATCTCTTTTAAATACAAGATGTCACACCTACCCTTCCCATATATATTGGCCAAAATATACATCTTCTTTTAAAACTATATC